GCCCATCAACCATTAACCGTGAAACTCCATGGATGGACTGACCATTCACAAGGGCACAACCCTCGCGATCCAGGCATCTCTTGAAGGCCTAACCTTTTCTTTCTTTTGTTTCTTAAAAAAGATGACCGGTAAGGGGATCTCAACCCTTGACTTGGAGTTGTCAGCACCACACTCACCCAGTGAGCAAACCGGCCATCCCTATATGGGATCCGAACCCGTGGCTTTGGTGTTACCAGCACCGCACTCTCCCAAGTGAGCCACAGGCGGGCCTGGCCTCACCTTTCAACACTGCCATAGTCTGATATTCCACCCTCTTAACACTGTTACAACAGGGTCAGGCTTCAGTGAGTTTTGGGGGGACATTCAATCCACAGCACCATCTTAACAAAATCGAGTCTTCCAATTCATGAACACAGAATATCTTCATTTATTTAGATCTTCTTTAACTTTTTTCAGCACAAGTCTTCTGTGTCTTTTGTTAAATTTATTTCTAAGTATTTTATTATTTTCAATGCTATTATGAGTTAAATTGTTTTCCTAATTTTGTTTCATGTTGTTCTTTGCTAGTACACAGAAACACACCTGATTTTTGTACATATTAATCTTGTATCCTGACATCTTGATAAAGCTATTTATTAGTTCTAGTAATTTCTTTTTGCATTATTTAGAATTTTCTGAAAATGATTATGTCATCTGCAAATAAAGACCCTTTTCCTTTTTCTGCTCCAACCCACTTTCTCCGTTTTCTTCCCTCGTTGCACTGGCTGCAGGCTCCAGGACGACGTGCAGTGGAAGCAGCGAGAGTGGACATCTTCGTCACCTTCCCAGTCATCCAGAGAGAGCGCCCAGTCTTCTCCATGACATATGATGTTTGCTGTAGGTTTTTTATAGAAGACTTTTTGAAAATCCAGTTTAGGGAGTTTCCTTTCATTCCTAGTTTGCATTTTTCCTTTTATTCCTAGTTTGCATTTTTCCTTTTATTTCTAGTTAGCATTTGGTTTGCAAATAGTTTCCATAGGACTTCATCAAAATTATAGATTTTTGCACTTCAAAAGACACTGATGGAGTTTGAATGTATTGTCCTCCCAAAACTCATGGAAATTTGATCCCTAGTGTGACAGTTTGAGAAATGGGGCAGGATCCCTCATGAATGGATTAATGGTCTCCCTAGGTGGGGGGATTAGTGAGTGAGTTCTCGCTCTATTAGTTCTTGCAAGAGCTGGTTGTTTAGAAGACCCTGGCACCTTCTCTCTCTCTCTCTTGCTTCCTCTCCCCATGTGATCTGCTTGTACCCGCCGGCTCCCTGCCACTTTCTGTCATGAGTAGAAGCAGCCTTAGGACCGTGCCAGATGCAGCTGTCCCAGAATCGTGAGCCAAATAAACCTCTTTCCTTTATAAATTACCCAGTCTCAGATATTTCTGTTACAGCAACACAAAACGGACTAATACAGACACCATCAAGAAAGTGAAAAGACAAGACACAGACTAGGAGAAACTATTTTAAGTTTTTATCATAAATGAGTATTGGATTACGTCAGGTGCTTTTTCTGTGTCTGTTAAGTGCTCATGAGGTTTTGTACTTCATTTTGTCAGTATAGTGTAGGACATTAATTGATTTTTGAATGGTGGGCCAACTTAGCATTCTTGGGACAAGTTCCTTTTTACGTGCTGCTGAATTTAGCTACATTTTAGTAAGGATTTTTGTGTCTGTTCAGGAGCAACGCTGACCTGTGGTTTTCTTTTCTTGTAGTGTCTTTGTCTGGCTCTGGCATCAGTACGATACTGGCCTCATAGGTGTGTCCTCGCCTCGCGGTGGCTTGTGCGTGGTTGGTATTATTCCTTCTTTGGACATTGTTTCTGGTAAGTCTGCTGTTGATTGTATTGTTGGCGTTCTGATGTGAGGAGTGGTTTTCCCCTTGCTGTTTTCAAGATTTTCTCTTTTCTTTGGGTTTCGGCAGTTTGGCTATATGTCTGCATTTATCCTACTTGGGGTTCATTGAGCTTATTGGGTCCGTAGGTTAATGCTTTTCATCAAATTTAGAAAAATTTTAGCCATTATTACTTCAAATATTTTTTCTGCCTTTATTTCGGTGATTGCATATGTGAAGTCACTTCAAAAAGTTCATGGAAAGATTTGTGTTACCTTCTAATTCTATTTTTTCCATGAACTTCTGAAGTGCCCTGACTCCGCAGACGTGAGTGTGTCCGCATTCCACACTGGATGTCTCATAGGTCTCTGAGGTACTGTTCATTTTTCCTTTTTCTTTTTCTCTTCATATTGGATAATTTCTATTGATTTATCTTTAAGTATTGATCTAAGGGAAAGATATTACATACTTAAGTATGTCTTCTATTAAGCATCCTGGTGAATTTTTTATCTCAGTTATTGTATTCTTGAATTCCACGATGCCCATTTGATTCTTTTAGTAAATTGTTGAGATTACTTATTTAAGTCATTTTCATCACATTTTCCTTTAATTCTTTGAACATGGTTTCCATTAATTTTATGTCTGCTAAGTCTGACATCTGGGTCCACTCAGAGATTATTTCTATGACCTGCTTTTTCCTCCGAATCACATTTTTCCTGTTTCTTTGCCTGTCTTGTAATTTTTGGTTGAAAACAGATGTTTTAATTGGCCCATTGATTATAGCAAATGCACTGCATTATCACAGGGTGATCATCACAGGGACGGGTGTGCGGGAACCCTCTGTACTTCCCGCTCCATTTTTCTCTAAACCCAAAATTGCTTGAAAAATAGTCTATTAATTTTTGAAAACTAGATGTTTTAGATAATGCATTGTATCCACTTCAAATTCTCATATATCCACCTGAGGGTCACTGTCCTAGCTATTTTTGTTTGGTCATTTTCCTGTAGTAAATCTGTGGACTTGTTTTTCCTTGTAGTGCACGGCACTGAAATCTCTGCCCAGCACTTTCCTTTCTGTTTGCCCTGTAAGCCTGTCTTCTGGATCTGGGTCTCCCTGTGGTGGCCCGTGTGGGCTGAGAGCTCAGCGCTGGGGCAGAGGCCCAGCTGGGTTTCCTGCAGGCGTCCTGGCCACCTCTGTGGGGCGCACAGGCTGGTGGCTGCGGGTGCATGGGAGCGCGCCAGGCCCCGTGGCTGTGTCTTTCTGGTGGCCCTGTTCTGAACCAGGGACCCAGCTCCAGAGCCACTGACCCCCCTGCCGCCTCCTCTGTGGCGATGCTGTGCCCCCCGTGCTGGGTTGGGGTGGGAGCAGCCCCAGGCGACCTCTGCTCTCACCTAGGGTCCAGTAGCTTGTTCCAGGGTCTTCTCAATTGCTCGTGTGCTGTGGTCACATTCCAGAGTGCTGAAATGGTTGTTTAGATGACTCTCACCCATCCTATCGAATCCCACCCCTCGCACGTGTCTGTGAAAACTCAGCTGCAGGAGGACTCCTGTGCCCTGGCAGGTGGAGGCTCAGAGCCCCTGAGGAGGGCAGGGCCTTGGGAGGGCAGCTGGAGGGCTGGGGAGCAGGGCACGGGGACAGTCCTCAGGCTGCCCACAGCCCCCACTAGCCACACCCTGGTCAGTTGGCACCAACCCAGCTTGGGGTTGATGCCTTCTGGCCAGAACCCCATCCCCAGGTCACAAAGCCAAGGACCTGCAGCATGCAGGACACTTGAGGCTGGGGGGGCTGGAGGAGAGGGCGGGAGACCGGTGTGGGGCAGTGGTGCAGGTGCTGGTGTGGTGCTGGGGCGATGGAGGAGTGGAGTGTGAGCCAGGGCTTGTGCCCATGGGGTGGGTGTAACAGCAGGAGGGGAGGGGCGGGCAGGTGACTGGAGGTTTGTCAGAGGGTGGCGAGGGTCCCCCAGAGAGGTAGCTCAGTGTCCTGGCTGTCCTGGCTTGGCGCCCAGGCTGGAGTGGGGCTGGGTGACTGTGAACCCAGTCCCTGGCCCCTGACCTCTGTCCAGACACACCCTGTGGGGCAATAAAACCCTGAGCAGCTTGGGTGGCAGGAGCAGAGCCAGGCACCGGGCACCTGGGTCAGCAACCACAGTTCCCCCAGAGCACGCTCTTCACTGAGAAGGGGACCCCAGACATGCGGAGGTAATGCTCATAGCCCCCAAGCCCTAATCCTCACCCTATCCCCACCAAAACCTGTGGCTGGGCCAGTAGATGGAGTGGTCTTGGCCTTGTCAGGGCTGCAGAGGCTGTGGGTCCAGGGACTCTGGCCCAGAGACCAGCTCCTGGGGCTGCTCAGTCCCCACCCGGGCCTGGCTTAGGGGAGTATCTGGGGGGAGGAAGAAGGGAGGGGCCCTCTGTGCCCAGACTGTGAAGACCAGGCCAGTGTCCCTCTACGAGCGCCCTCTCTTCCTGTGTGTGGACGGGAATGGGGCAGAGCCCCCCTCCCAACGGGCCCTCGGATGGTCTGGGGTCTGCATCCAGGCTCCACCTCTGAGGGCAGCCTCTGTGGCCGCGTGTGTGTGAGAGAGCCCATCGTCCCAGGGGTCCTCCAGCCCAGTGGAGAATCACCCAGGGGCCCCCTGGGAGGAGGCGGAGGCACCACGCTCAGAGGAGGACAGTTTGAGACTGCCCAGAGGGCTGGAGGCTGGCAGGGCTAGCCCAGTGGAGAATCACCCAGGGGCCCCCTGGGAGGAGGCGGAGGCACCACGCTCAGAGGACAGTTTGAGACTGCCCAGAGGGCTGGAGGCTGGCAGGGCTGGGGAAGGACCCAGGGCTGCCCTGAGGGGGTGTTGCCTTGTAAACAGGGCTTGAGGCTTGGGGAGCACTGGGGCTCTGCTGGATGTGGGGCCCCTTCCTCCTCTTCTCAGCCAGGCACTCCCCTGCCCATCCTCTCCTGGGGCTCTCCTTGGGACCCTCGGACCGGGAGTCATGCCTCTTTTGTAGAGAGGTGGGCTCTGGGTGGCTTGGGGGCCCTGGACTCCCTTTGGAGTCCAGAGCTGTCTGCCCGGAGAGGGGCCCAGGGGGTCCTACTGCCCAGATGCCCGGTGCCCTCCACCGCTGTCCCCCACGCTACCCATGTTCAGCAGTGTGGGGCCCCGGGCTGTGTTCCTGGGAGGGGCCCTCCAGGGGCAGCCAGGCCGTGGGCGGCCCAGGGGGTCCTACTGCCCAGATGCCCGGTGCCCTCCACCGCTGTCCCCCACGCTACCCGTGTTCAGCAGTGTGGGGCCCCGGGCTGTGTTCCTGGGAGGGGCCCTCCAGGGGCAGCCAGGCCGTGGGAATGGGGTCCAGATGCATAGACGACGGGCCTCTGTCTGGGGGTCCTGAGGAGGCAGGACAGCTGACCCCAACCAGGCCAGGGCACCGCCCCCCCCCCGCCACCACCCTTTGACTTTCCACAGTGTGCACAGGAAACCCCACCCCCAAAGGGCTGAGTCACCCAAAGAAGGAGCAAAGGTCTCTGTGGGGCTGCGATCTGGGCTACAGCCCTGGTGACTCACCTCCCCCATGGGGGCTGCGAGCCCACACTACTCCATACCAACCCCACGCATGTGCATGTGTGTCCCTGTGTGGAGGTTGGCACGGAGGCAGGGCAGGGCCTCTGGAGTCTCCAGCACCACCATTGGCCCCTGACCCTGTGGTGTCCACCCAGAGTGCAGCTGCAGCGGCTGTGGGCAGGGTGTGGGCCTGGGGCTCTCACCGCTGTGTGTCCTGGCCTGTGAGGTGGGGACACTGGTGAAGCCACCTGTGCATGCACAGACCCCAGCCCAGGCCTCCCTGGCCAGCAGCACATCCTCCTTCCTCTTGCTGCCCATCCTGGGTCCTGCCTGGGGTCAGGGGATGCAGTGCTGATGGGCAGGGGCCACCCCCACCCCACCTCACACTCCCCTCTCTGGCCTCCCCAGGCTCCTCCTGGTCACCAGCCTTGCAGCTTTGCTTCTGCCAGAGGCAAGTGCAGCTTCAGCACACGAGGTAGGTGTGGGCCCCTCCCACCTGGTGCCCACCCCTGGCTGTCACCTCTGTACAGGCTGGCAGCAGACCTTAGGAAAGGGCCCCTCCCCTGCCAGCCCCAAGCTGGCCTAGGAGAGAGGGGCAGGGGCACCAGTGTGACTGCAGATGTTTGGGACTTCAGGATGAGGACGGATAGGGCCCCCAGCCTGGGGTCTGATGGGCAGGCCTCGATGGCACCCAGGTGACCCCAGGAGGGGGAGGTGGGCCTGGATGGCACCCAGGTGACTCCAGTTGTAGTAGGTGTGCCTTGATGACACAAAAACCAGCCAGTGCCCTGAGGGCCCAGGAGGGGTGGGTATGCAGAGCCAGGTGAGGTCCAGGTCCCTTGTTCAGAGATTTTGGCCTTCCCCAGGCCCTGAGTCCAGGAAGGTTGGTCATTTGGGCACAGGCTGGTGTCCTCACTCCCTGGACCCACAGTCCTGACACCGAGGGTGGCTCTGCTCTGCCATCACTCTCTGGAGACCTTTGCGGACTGTGCCTTGCTGGCCCTGCCCCACCCACCTGCAGCCTCGGGTGGGCCTTGGATCAACCTCTCCACGTATCCTCCAACCTTGGGCCCCTTGTGAACTGTAGCTGAGCCCACACCCGTGACCCTCACTCTCCCAGGTTTTTTTCAAGATCAAAGTTGAACATGGGACCCCAGAGCAGGACACAGAGAAGTAAGTTTGCCTGAAAGCCCACTCCCACGCTCCTCTGAAGCTGCAGCTTTTTCCCTCTGGGCCCTTCCTGACCCTGGGGTGTGTCAGGTGGATGGACAATGAACCCTGTCCAGCAGCTTTTGGAAGTAGGCAAGGCTCGGGCCCCTCAGGGGTCTATCGGCAGAGCCTTGGGGCCTGGGGGACCCAGGACATCTTCCCCCCCCCAACTCTCCTGCAGCCTCAGGTGGCTCCTGATCGGTGGCTGGTGGGCTCAGTCTTGGGCCAGGATGTCTTCTTATGTCCCTTGCCCTTGGCAACTTGCTCCAGGGAGGCTCTGACCTTTCCACCCATCCACCCACCCACCCCCGCCTGTGCTCAGGGACACAGTGGGGCTGCTTGGACCGCATGACTGTGGGGTCCGTAGAGGCCATGCAAACCTGCAGCTCTTGAGAGAGCAGCAGTGGTGCTTGTCCTGGGGCCCCCAGCAGGTGGTGGGCTTGAGTAGCCCACATCACATTGCCAGGGCCCAGTTGTGCCCACCTCCCCCCACCTGGCCCCTCTGCACTGGCAGGGCCCGCGGCATCCGCCTGGTAGAGCCTCCAGAGAAGGACAACCAACTGGTGGGGCTCCTCCCTGCCCCCAAGGAGAAGCCACGAGGTCAAGGTGGGCACCCTGACCCTGCAGGTGGGAGCAAGACCACAGCAGGGGAGTCCACCATGTGGGGTTAGCTTGAATGGGTAGTCCTTGGGAAGGGGTGGGAGAGGATCCCAGGAGGGAAACTGAGGCCACACGTCCATCTGCTTGTCCCAAGGTGCCGAGGCCTGGGTGGAGACTGAGGACATCCTGGGCCATGTCTGGAGCCCCCAGCGTGGTCCTGAGCCTGACCTCGATGGCCTGTACCATCCCCCACCTGAGGAGGCCCAGGGTGAGGAGGGGTCCTCTCTGTGGGTGACACCATCTCTCCAGGTGCTCCAGGGGCCGGAGGAGGACCGAGACCACATCTACCACCCTGTGGAGGGCTCTGAGGGGCCCTGACTGCCCTCCCCCTGACTCGAGGCCCAGGCTTTTGGGACTGCTGACCCCCACCTCCGCTAGAAGAATAAACACCTGCAAACAGAAGAGGAAGGCTATGCACATGTTCAAGACTAGCGGCTCTGGGGCCCTGCCCATTCCATCTGGAGGAAGGAGGCCATGTCTGCCCCACCTGTGGCATGGTGAGAGACCCCCCAGGCCCAGGCCTTCCCCCTTGTATGTGAGGGTGGGGAGAGAGGTGCGGCAGCAGTCAGGTTGCAACCGGAGGGTAGCACTGGGACCAGTCTCTGCAGGGAAACAGAACCTGCTCTGGCTCCCTGAAGCAGCGCCAGGAGAGGCAGAGGGAGCCGGGGGGGATTTGGGGTGTCCAGTTGTGGCATGCAGGCTGGAGGCATGGAAGCAAGCACTGGCCACTCAGACCCTGCGACCTGAAACCAGGGGCACAGCCCAGAGGTGGGGGGTAGTCTCTCACCAAAAGCAGGTACGGCTCCTTCCAACCCCTCATGGTAGTCAGGGGGAAAGGCTGGGGTGGGGCTTCAAATCCCCTCCCCTAAACTCTCATGGGTGCTGTCCTGCCCAGGTACACACACTCTCCCAACCACAGGGGTGACCTGCTCTCTGGATGGCCAGGCCTCAGACCCCTTCCTCTGCTCGTGGCACTACTAGGCTGCCCTGTTTCTGTGAAGTGACAGGTGGGTGGGAGACCAGTCAGACCCACTGCAGCCATAGCTTTGGCTTCTCTAAGTGCAGTGGCCTGGTGGGGACTCTGGATGCTCTGCCTACAGAGCTGTGACCACAGACACTGGACAAGGGAACACAGCTCCTTGGCCAGAGGTGCCCACCCACTCTCGTCCCCTCACACCTGAGCTGCCCCAAGCCTCACCTGTGTGGTGACCCACCATATCCCGTCCGATGTCCCTCGTGAGCAGGCCAGTGGCTGGGTGGCCTGTGCTCTGAGTGTCTAGTTGAGCACAAGAGCATTCTGGTGGGCACAGGAGCTCCCCAACAAGAGCATGGATGGAGAATTTAGAAAGTGCTGGAGCCAGTGAAAAATGGGCAAGAGATTAGAACTATCAAGTCACCAAAGAGAACAGACGAAAGGTAGGTAAGCCCATGGAACAAGACTCGATGCGCGATGCCAGTGACCATCAGGAATGCAATTTGAAGCCTGTGGGACACCACTCCACACCCATCTGACAGGCTAAAACTAAGACTGACCACACCAGGTGGCATCGAGGGTGTGGAGGAGCTGGTGGGAACGTCACACAGCACAGCTACTTGGAATACAGTTTGGGGTTTCTTACAAAGTATGACATAACACCTGTCATATGACCCAGCCATTCCACTCCTAGGTATTTACGCAAGAGAAATGAAAGCAGGTTCCAAAGACCAGCACATGAATGATCACAGCAGCGTTATACATAATGGCCCCAAACTGCAAACAACCCAGTGTCCAGCGACAGGCGAACGGATAAAAAATTGTAGTCTGTCCACACAAAAGAACACTGGCCGGCAATAAAAAGGAAGAAATTATCATACAGATGACACAAATGAACTGCACGATAATTATGTATAATTGCAGAGCACACCCTGTGTGATTCCATTTACATAAAAAAAATTCTAGAAGGTGCAAACTAACCTAACAACAGAAGGCACATCAGGGTGGAGGTGCTCGCTGGCTTCAGTGTGGCAACGGGTGTATGCAAGTATCCAAATGTATCAATGCGCACACCTCCAGTAAAACTAACCTAACAACAGAAGGCACATCAGGGTGGAGGTGCTCGCTGGCTTCAGTGTGGCAATGGGTGTATGCAAGTATCCAAATGTATCAATGCGCACACCTCCAGTATGCACAATTTATTATATGTCAAACCTCAACAGAGCTTTAAAGAAAGGCCCTTGTGTGGCTAGATGTGGCCGTGGGGTCAGGAGTCAGCTGAAGACCTGCGGTGACGGGCTCACGTGAATGCGAGGTCCCGGGGGGTGGGGCGGTGAAAGCCGTGGAGGCCATCCAGGAGCAATAGTTGCGAAAGGACCCCAAAGTCTGTGGCCAGGCCCACACAGGGTCCCTTCCTCAGGTTCGGCCCCAAATCTCCCACCAAGTCAGCTCGCCTGCCCCCTAGGTTCTCCTCGTGGTCAGAGCATGCAGGTCTGGGCTCCTGCAACCCACTGCTGGAGCCTTAGGGCCACCTGCCCCCAGGCCCTGAGGGAGCCCCAGTCATCCCAGCTCCCGCAGCTCCTCCATCCCTCAGACCTCAGTTCTGTCTGCCTGTCTTCTTCTTGCACCCACGTGGCTGCGGGAAGGTGGGGGGAGGCAGGGAGAGGATCCGTGGGGAGAGGCCTTGTGGTCTGGTCAGTGGCCAACGGGAATTCCTCCCATCCTGTGAGACCCAGTCCAAGCACCATGTGGGAAAGCCACCCCCGGCTCTCCCAGGCATCCCCCTGCATCTCACTGCCTCTCTGCCTGGGCACTGGGCACCAAGTGACCTTGACCTCCCAGGACAACTCAGGCTCCAAGTGGGCAGGTTGTGTCTGACTTCATGCCCAGGCTCAGCATATGCAGTAGGCATTCAACATACTGAACACGGGCATGGGGCCCAGCCTACCACTCAGGCCTCTCTAGCTGGAATGCCAGGGTTGCCCACACACCCTGTCCAGCACCCGTAGTCACCTCTGAGCTCCCAAGATTCTTCCTCCCACAGTATCCAGGTGGCCCCTGGGATCTGTGCTCCTGCTTGGGGCTGAAGGAATGGCCCCTGGTCAGGAGCCATTTAGTGTCCACAGCCCAGGGGCAAATGCAGAAACCCCCACCCCAATGAAGGCTGCCAGGGCAGCCATCCCACCCACCTCCAGCCCTCTTCTGGTGCACTGTATTGCCACAGCCCCAGGTCCCTGCCCAGGCCCCAGATCCCCTGCCCGGGCCCCAGGCCTTATTTCCCAGTAGCCAGTAGCCTCCCTTGAGCTCGGCACCAAAACGAGTCTCGAGTGTGAGCAGAGCTGCTGTTTACGCCTTTAGTCTGAACACTGAGCAGTGACTACGTTTTTCCATCATTTTCACAAATAGGGATAATCCCAGTTCTTGTCAGTAGGGTCCATCCCAAGACCCACGGGCCCCTAGAGCCCCTGGCTGGGGTCCAGGTCTGGGTGCTACCACTGGGGGCCTGTTGGGGGTGGCATTGTAGGGGTTCAGGGGGCCTTTCATTCCTCTTGTGGTCCAGCGTGGTCTCCACCAGGGTGGTCTTCACTGCAGGGAGCCAAGGGCAAGCACCCCCTTCTTGAAGATGAGGTTTCCATAGAGGGCCGTCTCCCTGCATAAAGAACCAAGCTGGGCACCCCCACAAGAGCTGGGCCAGAGGGCTAGAGGGCAAAGACCCCTGCCCCACCCTCCTGAAGACAGAGCAGATCCCGTCCACCTTCATCCCACCTGCCGGACACAGGTCCAGGGACCAGTTGCCTTGGGCAAACAGGGGCCCAAATCCCTCCTGTCTCTCTCTCTCTGTGGGTCATCTAGTTCCAGCCTCGAAGGAGCTGAGTAGAGGATGGGGGAAGCTCCCTGAGGAGCCTGGTGGCAGGGCAAAGCCACCCAGCTGGACCCAGACAGATCTCACCCACTTGCCACAACAGCAAAAGCCTTTTTGGCGCGCTTGTAAAACTCAAACCTCTCAATCTTCGCCAGGGCACTCTGGAAGACAGAATGGCACAGTTGGAGGGGACCCTGCCCAGAAAACCTTATGGGCCTGCCCTGAGTCCCTGGCTCTGAGCTTCCTTTCTCTGGTTCTTCTAGTACAGGGGTTCCAAGGACACTTGGCCTCTGACTCCTGAGGACTGAGCAGGTGGGAACACAGGGTGTTTCTCACATCCCCACATGGAGGCTTGTTGTGAGTGAGGTGCCTGCATTGTTTGGCATCCCAGCAGCTGGGCAAGCCCTTCAGTCCCTCTGAGCTATGTGCCCAGGATGGGAGCCCCTGGTCTCCTCCCCTTAGGTCGGTCTTGCCCAAGATCTGCCAGTGCGTTGCCCAGGAGAACGGGCATGTCCCCTGGAAAGGCAGGGGCAGAGGGTGGGCTATGACCTGCGGCACCCAGCCAGGCCTCTGACCACAGCCAGGATGAGGACAGGGGAGACTTGGGGCTAGGGGGCACCCCCCATCCTCTGGCTCCACTTGCACAGGCTATGGTGGCTGAGGACCCCTAGGCAGACAGGAGAATCCTGGAAGGGAGGTGGAAGGCTCAGGGGTGGGCAGGGAGGGGTGGCCATGCCACCCAGGTGCACCTCTTCCACCCCCAGCTGGTGAGTGGGTGCCTGGTGGTCCTGAGCACTCGTACGACAGTGGGTGGGAGGCCACATGAGGACAGAGTTTGGGACTCCCTGTCTTTCGCTTGTCCTGAACCCGCAGGAGACACAGAGGGTCCCTGGCCGCCTGCCCCTGGTCAGAGCTGTATGCTCATGGTGCAGCCGGTGCAGGACAGGCTGGACCCGTACTGCTTCCACACCGGGCTCTGCAGGCCCCTCTCTTGGGCGCTGGGCACCAGCTCCATGACAGCAGCCTGAGGGGACGGAGATCAGTTCTGAAGCCCTGGGCGCCTCCAGGCCTCCCCTGGTTGGGTGATGGTCTAGGACTCCTCTGATCAGGGTCAGGGCCCCTGTGGGGACACACAGCCTCCCCCAACTCCAAGGCAAATGGGTCCTATAAAGTCTGGCAAGGGGGAAACCGAGGCCCAGAGCATCTGATGCTGGCGACGGGGGCCCTCACCGGGTTCTCCAGGTAGGTGTCCAGCGGCAGCAGCTGCAGCACAGCCTCCAGGAGCTGCGGGATGCCCAGGCCCGCCCTGTGCCAGCCGCCGCCGCCGCCCCACTGTCTGTCCACAGCATTCACCCTGGACCTCACAGCCAGGGTCTGCACCGGCCCGGCCAGCAGATGGAAGTGGCGGGGAAGTCG